CCGCCAGCCCGGAGGCTGGGGGGGGGGGGGAGCGTGTGCCGATCCAAATACTTGGCTAATCACTTTTTGTGAAGGTGAAGGCTGACATGAGAGGCGGCAGCTCATTAGCTTGAGCGAGGCTGATTGCAGCTTCCAGACAAATTTCGTCTTTGGCATCTATCGCCATTTTTTATTGTGTCCGTGCCACGACGACAGAGGAGTGATGGGAAAACGGTGCGTGCCAAATGATCCTTACACGGGATCGGATTGGATTTGAGAATGGAAACGTGGACGGGACAGAATGCCCTTTTGACCCGTCCGGGTCACCGACACACAAGTTACCGCCCAATTACATGTAGATTACATGAATGTGTTTTTTCACACGGCCGAGCGCCGCCCCGTGCGCTGGCGCCGGCGGCGGCGCTCGCATTACAGAAGCGCGTAATCTTGTGATATTGTGTCGGGATTAACGTCAAATCTCATTATGCGGTGAGTCGTGGGAGAAGGGGAGGATGGGGGGGGGGGTCGATCATGGGAAACGAACGTAGGAGGGAAGCTTTGCAGCTTTTATCGTTGACTATGGGGGGGAAAGACACACAAGAGAGATAAAAATCAGGAGTGTGAAATCTCAATTACGCGTTACGGCATTTGGGAGGGTGATTTACAGCATCCTGGAATGCGGCGCCCATTTTGTGCACGTTGAACATGACGCGTGGTCAAAGAGGACCTACGAAACGCGGGGGTCAAAGGTTGAGAATGAGTCTTGTCCGGCCACCCGCCGCGCCTCGTTTGAAAAAATGCCACCCGGGTCCGACACGCTCGCGCTTTTTACAAACCTCTTTTATGACCAATAGCTCCACAAAGACCGTAATTGGCAAGGTGATATAAAGCGAGCACGGGCACGGAGCCCAATTTCAAGTTGAAGTAAATCAGATTGCCGGGCTAAATAACGGCAGGCGACATCATATTGTGATGCATGCACCCCCCCCAAATCCTGAGGGCTTGGATGGGGGGGATTGAAAATGGTGCTCGACAGGCGGTTCCCGGGGGTTGCGCGCTTCACGCAGGTGCGAAAGCGGCGAGGCGGCTTTATTACGCGAAACGCAAGCGGTGATTACACACGACGGCGGGCCAGACCGGGTCGCTTTGAATGACGCGCGGGGGTATTGAGACCATTCGAGTGTGGACGGGAACATAGGCAGGCGCTACATGCCTCCTGAAAAGAGAGAGAGAGAGTGTCGCAAAAAGGAAAAACAAAAACTATCAATCATATCTAGTATAACGACATGGCCCCAGGAGACGGTTTGCCGTGATGATTGTTATCTTTGCGGTGAAATTTTGTAGTTCTGCGACAACTCTGAGAACGTTCGACGATGCAAAGAGGAAACCCTGCCCAGTAATGTCTTACAGTGGAGATAAAAAATCTAAACACCAATGTCCAAATGGAAGAGAAAATGCTGTTGCACAAGTGCGCACACCCCTCTGATCCGGTAACTGGGGATGTGGCTACGTTCAGAATTAACTACTCACATTCAAACTCATGTTACCGACCATTTAATGTACCTCTGCTTCACGGCAAAAATATTCAAGCTGTTCTAGTCGGCTTTTATCATGTTTTACATTTTTATATCACAAAATATATGACATTTGAACAGGAGTGAGACTTTTATAGCCGCTGCGTTGAAGAGTAGTCGTGTAACAGTGAAAAAGTGAACGCCCGGGAGAGGCTGAAAGTTGTTTTTGCACCGTGCTTGTTTGTTTTTTGTCCTCCGCTGATATTCACGTCTGAGTGATGCTGTTTTAAATGAGTTTGAGTGAAGTCAAGTCTGACACTCGAGACAGCGATTATCAGGGGGCTTTGCTAGCAGAGGCTAAGCTGCACTGTAGTTGTTTGCAGAAGAAATGAGGCAAAACAAATATGAGGCAGTTACACTGCCTGTCAGTTTTCTTTTCCGTGTGGAAAATAAATCTGAACACATGTACGATTACACTCCTAGCGAACGGGTGGCCGACATTTTCTGTTGGATAGATTTATTTATTTATTTATTTTGCATTGAGACTTGTTGAAAGGCTCACTGTCGGTTTTCAAGACAGTACACTGAAATTATTCCGTGAAATAATCCATCCATTTTCCGATCCGCTTTATCCTCACAAGGGTCGCGGGGGGTGCTGGAGCCTATCCCGGCCGTTCTTCGGGCAGTAGGCGGGGGACACCCTGAACCGGCCGATCGCAGGGCACACAGAGACGAACAACCATCCGCGCTCACACTCACACCTAGGGGCAATTTGGAGTGTTCAATCAGCCTGCCATGCATGTTTTTTGGAATGTGGGAGGAAACCGGAGGACCCGGAGAAAACCCACGCAGGCCCGGGGAGAACATGCAAACTCCACACAGGGAGGCCGGAGCTGGAATTGAACCCATAACCTCTGCACTGTGAGGTCGACGCGCTAACCACTGGGCCACCGGAATAAATAAAATAAGAGAATGTTCAGTTTGTAATAACTATTTATCTGTGACCGGAACAAGGAATACACACACGCTTTGACAATTTCCTAAACAGCTTAAATGACAAATTATATAATTTCATTTGAGTGCAGTTAGATTCTGCTACTTGCGTTCCGTGAAGCACACTTGGAGTATACAGCATTACGGTCGTTCTGCCACCCAGCAGACTGGATGAATATTTCCAACAGACTCCTTCAAGTTTCCCCAGCACTGCAAAAGGTTGCAATGAGAATTCTACGGTCCAACTTGCCGACTACCCTGCCCCCGCCCCCTCATCCACTTGAATGAATATGAGCGCATTCACACTCGACCCAGAATGCTTTTCAAAGGGAGCCGTGAGTTGCAGGAGGACCCTTCAAGTCGGCCGTATTCCATTAGCCGCCTTGTGATGTACGGCTGCGCGCGCACGTGCGCGCACACCCACCCATGACGGGAAGATAGTTTCCCCCCTTTCTCCTCATAAAACCATCCTGCACCCGACCGCCTCTCCTCCTCAGCTTCTTCTTCCTCCGTCACACACCCTGCCTTGGTCGTCATCCATCACGCGGGACCTCCGCAGATGGCCCCGTAGATACACACACACACACACACACACACACACACACACACACACACACACACACACACACACACACACACACACACACACATTCAAAGACTCCCCTACTCTCTTTCATTCCACACACACTCCACCCTACTTTCACACTGAGCTGTCATCCCCGCTAATTCTTTCATCCGCGGCTTTAAGCGGCTCAGCAAAAAAAAAAAAAAAAAAAAAACGAGCCTCCTTGGCTGAGGCAAAGCCCAATTAGGAGGCAATTAGCGCTATTAGAGCTACCTGAGAGACCGTCGGTGGGCATATAAAGCCGCTTATGATCGTAGTGAGGCGGGGAATTCATCAATGGCAGCCTCGAATATACCCGCCACCCCGATCAATGTGAGAAAAAGTGTAGCGCTAATGAGCGAGTGGGCCAAGTCAATATCAAAGCAAAAGAAAGAGACAAGCATCTTATCATGGCAATCAACAAGTTGAGGGGGGGTGGAGAAAAAAAAAATGGGACTTACCATTACATTTTTGCTTTTCTGCTTAAAAGTCCAAATTCCCGGACCCATCCAGCCCCCCGCGGACATCACACATCCAAACCCTGGAGGGAGGGGAAGCACACCTTGTTAGCCTCCCTGCTCAGGATGCTAAACGCTCGCATCCTGTTGCCTAAGGAGACGCGCGCCCCTGCCTGTGTGCGAGAGAGGGAGGAGTGCTGATGCTGTTGTTGTAGTAGGAGTAGTAGTAGTAGTCGAAAGAGGTGGGACGGCTGGAGAGAGGTGCGGAGGGAGGGGAGTCAAAGCGGGGGGCTGGTGGTGGAGGGGGGGATGCCGGCGCCTCATATCATGAGACAAGTCGTAATCTGCGCATCGGCGTGTTCTCGGCAAGGGATTTGAGGCAGTGAAAGAAATGGATGTTGAGGGGGGAAAAAAAAAAAGGAGGAGCGGGGGAAGGCAGGCGGCGGTGAATGAGGAGGAGGATGCTGCATCTTCCCTCCCTCACACCGGTGATCTCTCTCTCTCTCTCTCTCTCTCTCTCTCTCTCTCTCTCTCTCTCTCTCTCTCGTTTCCTCGCTCTCACACTCCGCCAGCCCGCGCCCTGCTACAGATTGCATGGCGCTGATGAAATTTTAATGGTTCTTTTAGGAAGAATAATGAACATGCTCGTCCCCGGAGTTGTGCGTAAAGGGAGGGGAGGGGGTGGTTCAAGCACACACCTAGATGAACAACATCACAGTTGTGCGAATGTTGGTTCTCTTCCCCCCCCCCGCCCCCCCACGTACTCCCACACACTTGTCACAATGCTCGCTGACACACACCCGTTTTCTTCATTTGGAAACGCACGTGTGGCTTCCAATCAACAACATCAAACACGGCAGCTGACAGACACGGCGCTGCAAAGAGATTCGACCCATCTTCAAAAAAAAAAAAAAAAACGCACTCCTGGCGCATCCCCACACGCGCACGTGAGCACACACGCACACCCCAGTCGAGTGGAACAAAGAGCAGGGAGGCACCAGTAGAACCAGCATGATGGGGAGCACACCGGCAGTGCGGCTTCACTTCTCGGCAGCGTGTCAGCGCGACCGACGAGAAAGCCTTCCGATGCGATACACGCTGAAGCAAATGTAAAAAATGAACGGGAAGAATTGCTTCAATTGTCAATTTCAAGTCGCGTTAAAACATTCTGAAACTGGAGAATATGTTGGGCGTGGTGAACGACAACGATGACGCATCTTATGAATTAACAGGAAATAGTTGCGGCAACTATAAATAAATACAATTAATTGGAAAAAAAAAACCCTGGAAGATTCCAATTCAGATTTATTGTCACAAAAAAAATTAATAGTGTCATGACCATTATAAACAATAGCATTAAATATTTTTGACAACTGTGAAAATAAACTAGAATAAAAGTGCGAACCACATAAATACAGCTGTGCTCATAAAATTACATCGCCTGAATTTGGGGGAAAATATGACTGATAACTTTCTTGCTATATTGTGTTAAATGTCACAGAATTGTGAAACGCCCTTATGGCTTAATTAAACATAAAATCGATGAATTTTGCCCGGCGACACGCGTTTTGTTTGAAGAATTGTCCACATCTTGGAAATTCTGCGAAGGTGTGTCAACCTTTGAGCGCAACAAATCAACACCCGACAAGACGCTCATTTCAATTAATTTTGATTCTTTTTTTTTTGTTTGTTTGTTTTTAAATCAGATAACCGGCTTTATACCAAAGGTCATTTTTACGTACTCGGGGGGAGGGGGGGGTGTGTGTACCGGCCAGCTTTCATCACTGATAACATCCCTGATGGACAATGTTAGCTGAGGTCAAAACAAGCCAAACCCAATTAACAAGCTGCGAGTGACCTTTTCTTCCATTATCGCGACTTGTTGTTCACCCTCTCTTGTTTACCGGCATTGTGGCTACGAATGAGGCCATGGAGAGATGCCAGCCGGTTCGAACCGAAAAAAGCACAATTTTCATCGCCAGGAGAAACGCTAATGCTAATTATCCCACATTCCAAATGAATACATTTGCAGTCGTCGTACTGCTTGCCGTGGTTGACGTAAGGGCTTTTGACAAATCATCAATAGAACCAACCAAACAGGGATATTATTTCCTGTGTGTCAATGCAGAGGATACACCGTAGATATGAAAACTATGGATAATGCCATTACATAATGCCCCCCCCCATCGCCGAATGGGATTACTTTTCAGTTTTGTTTTGTTTTTAAATTAGACACTGCTGAGGTGAAGTCAATTATTAATATAAAGAGAACACCGTTTTGAATCAATTGATGCATTATTGTCCATTGTTAGGTCCTGTTGTTGAAAACGTGATCAAAAACAGTGTATTATGAGCGGAAATGCTCATTAGGGGGATGTATATGATTTAATTCGGTAATGACAGAAACGCCGTTCACTCCAGCTGGGGCTGAAAAACAAAACCAAACAAGTCAGACAAGACGCATTTTGGGACCGGCCGAGTGCCACGTCAAATCGTATTCCGATTTTTAAACAGAGGATATTAACAATGGAATACATGGAATAGATTTATGATCAAATATTCAAAACTGCAGAAATGTCAGATTCCCTAATAAAAGGGACCGTGACGCAAGACTGGCTATAAAAATAAAGATGTCCATTGTGAAAGCGAATATTAAAACGGCTAGAGGCATGCTTCAGCAATAGTCATAGCGTTTGCTTTATTACACCCCAAATGAAAGTGGATGAAACTCTTTTTAAAACTTTCTATCATCTGGATTTTTGGCCTGTTTTACTGCCGCTATCTACAGACATACATACGATTTCAGACATGGGCAGACAGCTTTGTTGTTTAATTTCACACTTGATGGGTGGTCAGGCACTCCAGAAACTATTTTGTTGAAAAGCAATTAAAAAGAAAAAGAAAATGTTCCATCCTACATTGTGATGCGTTCATCCCCATCGGCTTTTCAACGGCATGAGTATCAATCTCAATTTTATTATTTATTTTTTTTTGCACATTCATACGAACCTAAACAGGCTCGGGGGGGGGTACTGAAAATGAATCATTTTTTTTCCCGGAATCACTGCAAGTCAAGACACCGGGAATCAGGGAGCGCCTCATCAATCGCAGATAAACAAGTGCAATTTCAATGCCCGGGCATCCGACAGCAACAAGTCAACAACACCAAAAGGTCTTTGTCATCACTATAATGGCAGTCGGAATGGCCTCTCGGGAGTTGTTCCTATTAAGAGCGCGGGCCCGCAGAGGAAGTCATCACCCCCTCAGCAGTTATTCATTCATCGTTTCTGGAACGGGAGCACGACGGAGAAATGACTAAGCTCTGGTGTTAATTAAACACCATTAACATGCTTCACCCAGGCTCCAGCTGTTCAACATCCAGGGTGGAGCTCTTCACGCTCTGAACATGCCGGCTTCGTGAACAGCGTGTGCTCTTTTATTTCTTCATCTGCATGTCGGGAACATCTCCAAATTCGTCTCTAGCCAGCTTGCTGGGGGTTGAAGGCCATGATGGTGCTGGTTGGGTGTTCCATCGCACTTCTTTCATATGGCTTTCGGAAGACAACGTGGACGGACAGAAAGAACGACTTGATGACCGAGCACGTTCATACACAACTCATGTAGAAACGGCTCGCATGATGAAGGCCGGCCACCTCGATAATAGGCAGTCATGAGCGACGAGCTCGGGAGGGGAGAGATTGATGACTTCAACTCATCGCCCATCCTTCTCTCCGGCGCCCCCCCGTCGTGTGGTCACATCTCATTTGCTGACAATCCATCTCGATGACACGGGTGAGCATACGCTCGGGGTCAGGGTTCACGGGCGTTTTGATGGAATTAGCATCTTGAGGACGGCGGATTCGTGTATTTGCCTCTCTGCGTCAATTGGCTGCTGGGGGTTCGGTTCAGCGGGTGACTAATTCACTTTGTAACCCGGGTAAGCCAAGACGCGGGGATGTTAACCTTTAAACGGAGGAGTCGTGGAATCGAGCCCAACATTTTGAGTCTTGTGAAGAAAATAGATCCGCAAAAATACCAGTGGGTATTCAAAAAAAATGGATCTGAATGGATTTCTTTGTTTTGTGGTGGCAATCAAAATTTGGATTGTCTGTTTTGTTTTCCAGATGTTTTTTTTTTTTTTTTTTTTTTTTTTTTGTCCGTCAACGGATTGAGAAGGCACAATTCTGGAAGTTTGGGTTCCGATCAATAACTTTCCGAAAACAAAGACTGGACCACATAGAGTGTTGTCTACGATTAGTGCACCACTAATTAAGTTCACCATCTGCATTCCTACGCCGGTGGTGGCCTTACAGATGTTCCCTCACAGTACGTCGCAATTAAAGTCGACAGCTTGTCCACGGTTAGGTTCTACGATGTGATCGGGATGGATGCGACGCGCTTACTTGATGGCGGGGGAACGAGATCGGCCGGACAAAATGGACCCCAGATGAAAATTAGCAGGCTGTCAGTATACATTTGACGCTTTTCAATTCAAGCAAACATTGATAAAAGCAAAGCCAGGCCTCATTTACAAATCAGTGCCGGGAAATAAGAGCGACGTTAGCGTCCTTGATGCGTTTAGCAAATCCCAGGCAAGAACGGAAAAAAAAAAACCTAGTACTTGTGCAACAGTCTCGGTTGACAGCAATCACAACAGCTATGTGCTTCGACCTCGGACTAAGATTCATGAGTAACGCAGGCGAAAGCAAAGACATGATTAAGTGGCGCTGCACAGTGGGGCAAAGGCGTGATTTCTTGTATTCTTTTCCAACGATTGCATCAAAACGGGATGTGAGGTTATGAAACTCATGGGTTGGGGGGGGTGAGAAGGTGTTAGGGCCACTAGAATATAATAAATGCTTGATTAGCTCATACTGTGGGCAACAGGGGCGCCGATTCAAGAGAGGCCTCCATCTCACCCCCTCCCACACTCCAAGATCATGATGCCACCGTTATGCATAAGGGGGGGCTGGCAAGAAACCAGATGAATAAATGCATAGGCATGAGCTAAATTGGCTCCCTCGGTGGAAGGCGAGCAGCACAGCAGTGGGAAGTGCTGGTATTTGTGTTGCATACCAGTGTCGAACGTTAGTAAAGACATTCTATTACGAGTTGGCTTATGCCCTCCCTTTAGTTAATGAAGAGGAAAATGAGAAAGACGTCGTTTTTGGGGGGGGGGGGCAGTTTACTGATAATGAGAGCCGGCCGCGGTTACGTGCAAAAGTTACTCAGCGTAATGGGGAGGAAAAAAAAAAAAACTAGACAAAAACTAAACAAGCCTCTTAAACCAAATGAAATCATGTGTCTACAAAAGTACAGCAGGAAGCAGATCATTTAGCAAAAAGATAATTGCCGGATAGAAACAATACAAGGG